ATATGCTCTATATGTGCCTTATGACTGACTATACCACCGAAAATCAGCACTTCCAAATCTGAAACAATGGTCCTCAGTCAGAAAAGGGTGAGTGCCCTGTCCGGGTCGGGGAGGAGATCTTGCCCCAAGTGGAGGAGTTGAATTATCTTGGGGTCTTGTTCAGGAGTGAGGGCAGGAGGGAGCGAGAGATTGACAGGTGGATCGGTGCAGCGTCTGCGGACTTTGTAGCGGTCTGTCGTGGTGAAGAAGGAGCTGAGTCAAAAGGCAAAGCTCTCATTTTACCGCTCGATGTACATTCCAACCCCCATCTTTGGTCAGGAGATATGGGTCGTGACCGAAAGAACGAGATCCCGGATACAAGCGGCCAAAATGAGTTTTCTCCCCAGGGTGTCCGGGCTCTCCCTTAGAGACAAGGTGAGAAGGTCGGTCATCCGGGAGGGGCTCAGAGTCGAGCCGCATCTCCTCCACGTCGAAAGGAGCCAGATGAGGTGGCTTGGGCATTTGCTTAGGATGCCTCCTGAACGCTTTACTGGTGAGGTGTCCCGGGCATGTCCCACGGGCAGGAGGCCCTGGGGATGACCCAGGACACGCTTGAAAGACTATGTCACTCAGCTGACCTGGGAACACCTCGGGATCCCTTGGGAAGAGCTAGAAGAAGTGGCTGGGGAGAGGGAAGTCTGGGCTTCCCTGCTAAAGCTGCTGCCCCCGCGACCCCGGATAAGAGGTAGAAAATGGATGGATGGATGGATGGTACATGAATGTTGAATTGGAGTAAGAGCTCAAGATCCTGTATTCCATTTCTTTCTTGTCTTTCTGTACTCAGATTTTTAACTCCATTTGCTCAGCTGAACACCATGACATAAATCTCTTTTCCATTTTCCTTTCATCCCCTCGAACCCCCTCTTCCTCTGTGTGGTTTTCTTCATCTTTGCGTTAATCTGCTGTGGTTTTCTTTCACTTCTCGCCTTCTCCACCACCTTCATTTCCCACCACCTAATTTCTCTACATTGTTAGAGACAAGTTATGATAGAAGATTATTTTTAGATTTTTAATTCTTCCTGTTTACAGGGTGTACTGTGGTGTAGGGATAGCTTTTCTGCCATCACATTTTTTTTTTTGCCATGTCTTCTTTTTTAATACAGATTAAAATACAAACCACCATATGAGACAGATGAAGGCTACGATGCAGGTGTAGTGTAGGAAGTGAAGTGTTTTTTTTTTTTTTAATTATTGTAGAAAGCAAGAGTGGGTGATGAATATTGTCAAGGAGAAAATGCCAAGGTGGTTAAGCAAGAGCAAAAGGAGAGAGGAGGGTTGAGTAAGAAATGTATTTATTTAGTTTTGGTCTGATACAAAAGGGTGGCACGGTGATCGACTGGTTAGCACGTCCGCTTCACAGTGTAGAGGTGCAGGGTTCGATGCCAGGCCCCGGCCTTACTGTGTGCAGTATGCATATTCTCCCCGTGCCTGCGTGGATTTTCTCGGGGTATTCCGGTTTCCTCCCATATTCCAAAAACATGCATGGCGGGTTAATGGAACACTCTAAATTGACCCCAGGTGTGATTGTGAGCGTGAATGTTTGTTTGTCTATGTGTGCCTTGTGATTGGCTGGCAACCAGTTCAGGGTGTCCCCCGTCTCCTGCCTGAAGACTGCTCCGATAGGCTCTTGCATGCCCACGACCCTCGTGAGGAGAAATGGATCAGAAAATGGATGGTGGATGGTCTGATACAAGTTGCTAAATATACTGTATTTCTACACCTTTCTAGTTTTGCTCTAGCTCTTAAACTGAAATGTTTTATACAGCTTATGACTCTTAATCCAATAACTCCACCAGTAAATTGTAAAAGAACAGACACACTTGAGTACTGCTCGAGCACAAGGCGCATCATTGGCAGGCAACTTTTAAGGGTCCAGAATCAGTGATTGATTTTCATCTCAAGAAGAAGGGACTTCCCTTCGAGGAAAACAAGGTCCAAATTCTGGATAGGAAGGAACAAGAAAAGCTGTCTCCAAATACAGAAGGTTTGAAACATCACCCTCTCACATCATTCAACGGAAGTGTGGCCATAAGGTGTTTTGCTACAAGACAAGTGAACAACTGACTGGTATGCAGGATGGTCGTTTTACTAACCACAACAACCCCCTATTGTTCACTACCTGCATGAAACACACCCACCGAGGCATACTTGGAGGTACGCAAGCCCTAAAATTTACAACTGAGGAAGCTTTTTAGAGTGTAGGTGAAACTTTAGTCACTCACTTACTTTTGTCTTCAACAAATAAGAACTATTCAGTTTGCTTGATTCAACTTTTGCAAATTACCAAGACATCGGTGACTAATATACAGACAAACCACGTTGCTGACTTTTCCCCCAAGACAAGCCCTTTGAGAAACACAGGGCGGGAAACAAATTACAAAAAGTACTGGGTGCGAATGGGTACAGCATGCAATTGTGAGAGTGAAAAGGTAATATGCATGCTTTACCTTCCTGGTGCTAAAGCTACCAAGTCACCGTCATTTGTTGTGAGTTTTTATGAAATACTTAAAAATGTGTTTTTAACCCTTTCAGGGACAGCGGTCACTTCGGTGGACAACTTATCATGGTATCAGGTTACAGGTTATCATCATTGGTGCATGAACGGGTTAATTCTTGGTGCAGTCTTGAAACAACGTGGTTGTGTGGGATACGGTATTGTCACTAAAAAGCTGCAAAAATAAATCAATCAGACCCTAAAACAAATAAAAATATCCACAGGTTTGTGACATGCATTCGTTTTATATATGTTGTACTTGTGGTTTTAAAAATGAATTCATCTATTAATTTGAAATTGAAGACAGGATCATGACAATTGGGGAATGTTGAATGTAGCAGACATCCTCGAAAGTTGTTCCCTCTCTCACTGACAGCCCCATTAGCCTCCGGGGATTCTGCTGCACTCCATTCTGTCTGAGGTGACAAACAATCTTCTTGTGACTCTGATTTAGAAATTCGCTGACAGCTCCTGTTCCTCTCTGGAACCTCAGTTTTTCAAAGATATAAATACCAAAGCATCAATTTCTCTTCCTGACTTACCTCAACCTTTAAATGAACCATAACTTTACCTGAGCAAAGGAGCAGGAACGACTAAGATGTTTTTGTCTGTTACGCTTTTTCCACCCCCCTAAAAAAAACTCGGTGCTCGTACGGTGCCAGGGCCAGTGCTGTACTTCACAAGTTCTTACGAAGAACCTGTTTGTTTTCCACCGGCAATGAGCCAGGTAGGAGCAGGGCGTGCTGGAGCCTATCCGAACTGTCTTCGGGCATTAGGCAGGGGACACCCTGAACCGGTTGCCAGACAATTGCAGGGCACACAGAGACGAACAACCATCCACTCTCACAGTCACACCTAGGGACAATTTGGAGTGTTCAACCAGCCTTTCATGCATGTTTTTGGAATGAGGGAGAAAACCGGAGTACCGGGAGAAAACCCACGCAGGCCCGGGGAGAACATGCAAATTCCACACAGGAAGGCCAGAGCTGGAATCGAACCCGGTACCTCTGCACTGTGAGATCGACGCGCTAACCACTTGATCATCGGGCCGCCACAAACACTTATATTTTTCTTAATCATTATAGATGATCACGAGGTTGGCTGCGAGTGGGAGATCAAATGCTATTTGGGCCAATCCGTGATCACTCTTCTGGTTGGACGCAATTGTGCTCGAGTTCACCGCTCAACAGTTTGCGCAAAAATTCCGTGTGTCCAGGGAGTCATTCCTCTACATCTGCGATCGTCATGATAACCCCACCTCCCGCCCCCTGACGTAGTAGGTGCCAGAGTCTGGCCCAACAAATAATTGGGGCCTGCTTCAGCACCAGTTTCAAGCACCAGAGCTAGAGCGAGAGCCAATTCCGGTAGTGGGAAAAGAAAGAATTGGTGCTAACCTGGGCACTGGCCCGGAATTAGCTTGAGCACAAGCATGGTGGAAAAGGGCCATGTGAAGCTACTTTAGAGCCACAGTGGTAAAACACACAATGAGGGCAGGAAACATGCATTTGTTGATGAACAAACACATGATAAGAAGTCACTTTTAGATTGTAAAAATACAGTCAAACCTCAGTTTTCGTCCATAAACCGTTCCAGAAGGCTGTTTGAAAACCGAAATTGTTCGAAAACCGAAACCACGCTCTTTTTAAAATAAAAATGTTTACTGAACACGTCTGCTCACAATGGAAAGCAACACGAGGAAGCGTCACTTCCTCGTGTAAGGAAGGCGAGAGGAGTCAAATGGTACATTCAAGTGCGCTCAGTTTGTTCGAGAGCCAAAATTTGTTCGTCATCCGAGGCATAAAAAACTCAAAATTTTTGGTTGAAAACCGAATTGGTCGAGAACCGAGACGTTCGAAAACCGAGGTTTGACTGTACTTTAAAAAACAGAGCAGAAAAAAAATGGGACACAATCAGTGAGTGTCACCATCCTAATAATTTTGACTGATTTCATGCAAACCTCTACAATGGCACAACTACTGGCTGCATTCATCCATTAAAATAATACTGGTCTGCCACTTGGATTTGAAGCACCAACTTTGTCAGCTTTCCACCCTTTCTCCTCTCTGATTCACAATGGCCTTTTCCTATCCATTCCTTTATTTTCTATGCCGCTTGGGTCACGAGTGAGCTGGGCCGATACCAACTGACTGGACTAGCGTGGTACATCCTGAACTGGTCGCCAGCCAATCGCAAGGCACATGCAACCCTTCACATCAATGGGCAGAGTTCTGAATGAATAATATACTGTCTAATCATGTTTTATGTTGTTAAGTAGTAGATGTGTTTGACTGAACTAAAGGAATGATGTGTAGGCAGTGTGTGTCTTTTTCTTATCAAGTTTGTTTTATTTTTCAAATGTACTTCAGATCATGAACCTGTCTGTGTCATTCGCATATGAAGGATTTACCGTACATTCCGCATTATAAGGCACTTCGGAGTATAAGGCGCACCTTCAATGAGTGGCCTATTTTAAAAATGTTTTCATATATAGGGAGCACCGCATTATAAGGCGCGTACAATAGAAGCTACAATAGTGGCTGAGGTTGAGTTATGGATCCACTAGATGTTGCTACACTAAAGTCACGCCATTTTCCAATCACTCACGTGATTTCCGGGTTGAGTGAACGCTGGCGTTGTCTGGCTGCCGCTGCTCACCCGCAACACATTTTTAACATTTTTACGGTTTTACTGTCGCCAATTTATTTTTGATCGTCAAGCACTATCTGATTGTTTTTAATCACGCTGTCACAGCATCCTACCTTTTCGGATCTCAGACGAGGTCCCGTGCCATCTCCACCCCTCTATACCTCACGACGGGGGAAATCGAGGCCTTTGTCTGGGCCATCCTAATTTGGACCATCCTGTCGCTCCTCCATCGACCTATGGAAGGACTACTTCGGTACTCAACGGCAGAACTTCTCGGGCTCCGCTTTCGGTGGTTGCGCTTTCCACCTGCGCTGCACCGCTTCCCAGACATCGTTCTTCGTCCCTCCTGGAAATACACTCACCGTGGGTCTCGTCGGGGCTTCTACCTCGATCGATCCGAGGGCATCACCTCCTTCTGGTCATCCTCCCGCCGGCCACGCAGAAACAACGGCCGATCCGCGGACCGCAGCGTGTTGGCCGACCTGGCTAGGTCGGCTAATGCTCCTCGTAACAGCGATGTTGCGCTGCACCACTTCCCGGACATCGCTTTTCGTCCCTCCCGGAAATATATCCACCGCGGGTCTCGTCGGGGCTTCCACCTCGATAGATCCAAGGGCATCACCTCCTTCTGGTCATCCTCCCGCCGGCCACGCAGAAACAACGGCCGAACCGC